ATCGATGACGTCAACAATATTTTATTTTTAAAAAATTATATTAACCCTTTAAATTTTAATATATTACAAAAATTCTCCTAAAAAAGGTCAAAGTGATCCCTAAAATTTTTATTTATTCCAAAAATGTCCCAATAAAATCACCAATTAATTCCTAAACTTTTGATATATCTCCAAAATACCCCTATAAAATGACAAAGTAACCCTCATGATTTTAAAATATTTCAAAAAACCCCTGAGACCTAAACCGGACTGGAGAAGCTATCGGTTCTCGGTTCGACCGGTCGGTCCGGTCCGGCTTTTAAAACAGAGGTCATAACATCCTTATAAATAATCAATCAAATTCATCTCAAATTATATATTTGATGATTAGAGCCTTAAACCTCCAACGAGCACCATGATCAATCATTTCTCTTTTATAAATCCATGGATCGTTTGAAAGGGCAATGGTAGATGAGAAAGTGTAGTGTACCTTTGTACTATGGCGTCGGTACTTTTGCATATGAGGTTTACATTGTATGTAATCTGTGTGTGGCTAGACGAATCTTGTATCTTGAAAACTCTTAATGAGCTTAGACTTTCACTGATCAAATGTCCATTTTTGCTTGTGATAGTTGCTTCTAAGTACAATAACACTAAAATCTCCTGAAGTTGTTATTATAAGAAGTGAGCTTTTGTAATAACAAACTCAGTCACACTTTTCAGAACTGTTTCTTCAATATATTTTTCAATTTTCTCTATTTTTCTCATGGTATCAGAGCTTTGAAGTTAACTAATCTTTCTGCTTCATCTTTCTGATCTCCCAGCTTTATTTTGTTGACTTTCGCACTTTTATTTCTATCAAGAAAGATGAATCTGCTGAATTCAAGAAGAAGCCAAATCCTGAGTATGGTTGCTCGTGAAGATTTAAAAATTGCTTGTAACTTGTACGTGACGTGAGGGAGGCTTAAAAAGTTTTGAAAATAAATTTTTTATATTTACATATTTCAAAATAGTAATAAGATAATTCTTTTTATTCTTCTTTTAAAATTTAAAGAAATAAGACACTTTTTGGCCCCTACTCAAACATTGATTGCATGTTAGTTAAACCAATGAACCCTGCTTAAATTAACCAAGGTAAGAATTGCTAGTGATAGTGTTATTGGAGGTGTGTTTATTTTCTTTTGACTCAAATAATGATGAATTGATGATTCACAACATATACCACATTATAATTTTTTTGTTTTTTTGGTTTTTTGGATGAGTTGTTATGAATTATGATTGGTTATTGGAGTTGAGGGGTGTTGATTGTTGAGCTGGAAAAATCTAATCATTTGGTAGGGTTGGTTGCTTGTAAAATATATGGGAGTGTTTTTATTTTTTTTTTGGACGAATTGTTATGAATTATGATTGGTTAATTAATTTAAATGTAAATACTTTGTTGTGTCCTTTAGATTGGCTTGGTATGGAGGAGTCTACATATTTAGGAACGGGTCATAATGTAGCCGTAGGTTAACTTCCTTCTACTGGTAGTACTGTTTGTCCAAAAAGATGTAAAGTTTCAAATGTTTGGGGTCAATTTACAACATATATAAAAGATAATGGGGAGGTGAGGGCAAAATGTATGATTTGTGGTAAGTCTTATGCGCATGGTAGTTCAGTCATGGGACTAAGAATTTGAGGCGCCATATGGAAGGTTGTCCTAAACGTACCATTACTAGTAGTGTAGATCAAATGATGATGGATTGTGATACTAAATTGAGACGTTTGAAGATTTCTCAAGAAATTTATCATGAGAGGATGGCAATAGGAATCATAAAACATGATTACCCATATTCAACAGTGGAGCATGAAGGAATTAGAGATGTCCACATGTATTTGAATCATGAAGTTAAGCATTATACTAGGAACACCGCTAAGGCAGATTGCTTAAAGATATATTACAGGGAGAAGGAAAAGAGCTTGACTTCTGATATTTGGAGTTCATGTACTACTGATGAGTATATTTCTTTAACGGCTCACTATGTTGATGAGAACTGAGAGTTACAAAGTAGAATTTTGAATTTTTGCTATATTCCTCCTTCACACTCGGGGGCTCTTTTGTCAGACATAGTATATGATTTCTTAAAAGATTGGGGGATTGAAAAAAAAGTCTTCTCTCTTACATTAGACAATGCAAGTAACAATGATAAAATGGAAGACATTTTAAGGAGTCAATTTTGTGTCCAAAATGTTTTATTATGTGATGTTTCTTTTTTTCATGTGCGATGTTGTGCACATATCTTGAATCTCATAGTCCAAGAAGGGTTAAAGGTGAGTAGCGTGGCTTTGCATAAAATTCATGAAAGTGTGAAATATGTTAAAGGAAGTGACGCTAAAAGAATCAAGTTTGGAGAACTTGTTAAAAAAATTGGTGTGAAAAGCTCAAAAGGATTGCGAATGGATGTTCCCACGAGATGAAATTCCACTTATTTAATGCTTGAAAGTGCGTTAATATATCATCATGTGTTTGTTCAGTTGGCACTGATAGATCCCAATTATAAAAGTTGTCCTTCAGATGAAGAATGGGATAGGGGGGTGCGGATTTGCAAGTTCTTGCAACCATTTTATGAGATCACTACTCTTTTTTCGGGTTCCCAATAGCCCACAACAAACTTGTATCTCAGAAATGTGTGGAGAGTTCAAGTGCGTTTATACGAAGAGATGGAAAATAAGGATGAAGTTCTTAGTACCATGGTAAGTCAAATGAAAGGAAAATTTGACAAATATTGAGATTTTTATACTGTTGTGTTAGCAATTGCAGCAATTCTGGACCCACGTTTCAAGTTTGATTTTGTTGAGTTTTGTTACAAAAAAGTTGATAGCCCAGTAGTTGCAACAAGAAAGTTGGAGTTGGTCAAGCAGGAGTTGTATAGGCTTTTTGTTGCTTATGAGGATCTAAGTGGCAATGAGGTTCCCAACGATCCTTGCGTACAGGCTAGTAATCCTAATATCATTGAAGATGATATTTGTGTAAGTCAATACTCCCTAAATATTTTTATATTCTTGTGATTAATAAGATTTTCTTTATTTTGTAATTTTTCTTTATTAAATTTAAATATTTAAATGGTGCAGGAATTTGACTACTATAAGAGTGATTTTAGTGCTACTAAGAAGTCCGAATTGGATACTTATTTGGGAGAGGCAAGGTTTGATTGCATCAAATTTTGCAATTTGGATATCCTGGACCATTGGAAGAAAAATAGTGATCGATACCCGATACTTTCGATGATGGCCCGTGATGTGATGAGTATACCAATAACGACTGTTTCTTCAGAGTCCAGTTTCAGTGTTGGTAGCAAAGTGCTCAGTAAATATCGAAGTTCACTTTTACTGGAGAATATAGAGTCTTTGATATGCACCAGGACATGGATTTCTGGATATGAAGTTAGAGGTAACATTTTAACTTATATTTCACATGTTTTAATATTTTTGTTTGTTAATATATTACGATAGTTAACTTATATTTTGTTAATTATAGAAGATGAAATTGATGATGTTCAGCTACTTGTGCCATTAAGTCAAGGGCCGAGGAAGGAGATTGCATAATCAAGGGCGGCTTTGTTTGTTTAGTGTGTTTGGTTAAACAATTATATATGTTTAATTGTTTAGTGTTTACTAATTAATAATTACTATGTATGTTTAGTGTTTATTAATTCTATTGTTTATATGGTGGAGTTTGATATAAATATGAAAAATATTAATATTGAATTAATAATGTTTGGTGAAATCTAATCAAATTTAATTTAATCATCCATTTATTTAATATAATAAGTTAATAACTAATAAGTTTAATAAATGAATTTTATATCAAGTTTTTAAATCAATATAATTTAGAATGCAATTTGAAATTTTAAATTAAAAAAACAGTAAAAAATAACAAAAATATGAAAAAAAAAACAGTGAAAAATATGGAAAATATAAAAGGCTGGTGCATTGTTCATGGGTGACCCGTACCCACACGGGTGGGTACGGATCATGTATATGTCAACCTGTCAGAACTTTTTACCCGCGAACCCGAGACCCTTTGCTACCCGGATCATACCTGCCCAATCCGCCCGTTTGCAAGGTCTACTTGAAAGTTGGTTGCTTGCTTTGTTCTCAGAATCTATGTTCGGTCATGTATCTTAATGTCGGTTCTCATTTGAAATCTGCACAAATTTAGAGAGAATTTTTGTTTCTAAATCAAAAACAACTAGGCATGATTCATTGAGTATGAGTGATTACATGTTTATATAAGATGAAAGATAAAGGTGATAGTCTATCATCTAGAGGCCAAAAAATCAGTAATGAAGAGTTGTTAGTAGTAGTGAATCTCAACTCTAGAATCAATTGCCTCTGTTAGTTTTACGGTAGTAGTATGAGTTTAGGTTGGAGAGTTCTACTCCTAGGATGATTGATTTACTTAATATTTCTGCTGATAATGATTCTGTAGTTTCTTTAGCTCCAATCCTCCCTCGCCAAACAATGATCCTCAATTAGTCAGGTACCTCACTGCAATCTCATGGGCTATTAAGTATTTCTTCAAACTCGGTACGCAATCCACCAACATTGCAATTTTCTCAGTGCTGATGTATCAACACGGAGAAAATTGCTGGACAGGTAGCTGTTCTTCTAATCTGAAATAGATCACGATTTGAATGATGAATTCCTGGAGTTATTTTTGGTAGGAGTAATCAGCATATATAATTGTTATTGAAGATTTGTTGGATTTGTCTCACCAAATGTTGTTGTGATTTATTGTTGGCCTCCTACAGTTGCAATATATTGAAGGTTTCTGCTATTGCTTTCGGAAACTTTTCGAGTGGTTATCGAAAATTTCAAATGTTGACATTTTGGCTGCTGCAGAGTTATGGGAATGTTGTAAAATTCTGTTGAAGCATTTCAAAGGTTATGATTTGCTATCAAAGTATTCTTATAATCCGATCGGTTGTGTTCGGTGGATTGTTGCTCTTCTTCTCTTACAGAATTGNCTAATATACCCAACATAAATTAAAAAGAGGAATTAGTAATAAAATCATAAATTAAAAAACAAAACCTCGAACTAGTAATTCATTTATATAACCAATTTGCCACAATAATGCTAATAACTTACCTGACATTACATTGAGCGCCTTGAAAGAATTTGCACATGAAATTAGCAGCTCCAGCAGCCAAAAATTAAACAAAGTCCGCGAAAGAAACAAACGTCCAAGTCCAAAACTTACAGATCAATAAGCCACCTCTGCTATTCAAAACATGATGAAAACCTTGTTGGTTTCTGAAAATCACCTTACAAATAACTTTAAAAAAATATTCAAATTATATATTTAACCATTATTTTACCATCCCATCTATTATTAAATTATTGGAGTAGCTTCAGTTGAGTACCTTGATCATCTGTGTTCAAACGCCTCAAAGTCCGCAAACAAAATTGAAGTCCATGAAGAGAAAAGCTTAAACCACCTCCGTTACTGATAATAGAAATGTTGTTAAGAAGTATTGATTTGGTTTGTGCAAATTCTCTTAGGATTCGGTTCCACTTCCTCCCCATCAGATTGAACTGCCATCTCTGTCTCACTTTGGCTTTCATGTGTGTCCACATGATCTCCTGTTACCCCAAAACCTTGGCTTACAAAATTCTCAAAAGTGCTGGGCTTGGATTTAGCCTGGTTGATGGCTTGTGCATAAAGTGGACAGACCCCACAATATTTCACCTTCCTATATTTGGAAGTTCAATCATAATTTGATCCTAACTCAAATGTCACAGCAGTATGGTCACCCTTGAGTAGCCTAGCCATTTCAGCATCAAAATAGCTACCAAAGACCACATGATCTGAGTTAATTGACACCATATGATCTGGGTCATCCTGGAAATAGCCTACAATGACATTAAAGTTGCAAGAGAAGTCTACCCTTTCACCATCATTGGTTTCAAAATGACAATCGCAGCTGATATAAAGATCTTGAGTCTCAAAACTCTCATCAAATGCAATAACGGCCCATATAGCAAACCCGATAAAGCTTGTAAAACACCAATTTTGAGGTAGATCAAAAGTTAACGAAGATCCCTAACTTTGATAGTGGACCCAGTTAGGAAGGTCACTTCCAGGCAAACAAAAGTTGAAAAACCGTGTTGGTTTATCTTCCTGAAATATGAAAATAATTAATTAATATGCTAATGTCTGTGAGTGTGAGAGAGAAAAAGAGAGACCTCTGAAGACCATACTCACTTGTGCATTTGCCATACGTTGAAATCTTAGTGGTGCACTTGCCAAAACGTTCATTGCTTTCTCATCCAGACTGTGACAGTTTGTGAATATGAAGTAAATTCTGACCATTAATTTTTCCACTTCTGATGCATCTATTTTTTCTGGACTTGATGGAATCTCTGGTAATGATTGGAGCTGCTTGCAATTTATTGCTTCTAAGTATCTTAGAGACCATGGAAGCTCCGGTAACGAATGAAGCATATTGCAATTGCTTAAGAAAAGTTGTTTCAGTCCAGAAAATTGCTTCATACTTGCAGGTAGACTCTCAAAATTGTTTCCCCTTAGATCTAAATTCGACAGCAAGGATACACAACAAAGATCCTCAGGTATTTCAGTTAGATTGCAGAAAGCTAGATACAATTCATAAATGTTATTCCAACATGCAATAGAAGATGGTAATTTACTCAAGGAGGTTCTACATGCATAGAGACTTGTCAAATGTGTTAAATTTTCCAAGTTTTCTAGAAGAGCTTCAAGCTTTGAGCAACCAGAAATATCAAAATACCTTATAGAGGTCAAACTACACATACTTCTTGGAATTGTCTCAAGATTTATGCAATCCTTCAACTTCAAAGTGTGAAGCCCTTTCAAATATTCAATAGAAGATGGAAGCTCTTTAATTGTTGCTGCTCCATTTAAAACAAGGAGATGTAAATCATCCATTTCCTCCAAGATTTCTGGGAAACTCTCAAGTTTTGAGCAGTCGGAAAGAATCAACTGGGTAAGAGATTTTAATTTACAAATACTAGTTGGAAGACGCTTCAGCCTTCTACAATTATCCATATCTAATATAATCAACTGAGACAGACACTCGATTGATGGGGGAACTTCTTCTATTGCGGTCCCACACAAGTGTAATACAATTATATTTCCGTAAATCTGTGGAAACTTGTTGAGATTAGTGCAATAAGAGAAGTCAATAATTATAGGACCCCTAAAATGAATGTTGCTTCCGAAGCTTTTAAGATTTTCACAGTATCTCAAATTTAGTGTATGTAGGTTGTAAAGAGATTGGATAGATGTGTGAGCTTCAACCAAACTGCTACAATAATTAAGATTTATAACCTCAAGCTCCATGGCATCTGAGAGGTCTGGGAGCTCAATCAAGCAGTCAGAGCTTCGAAGACTAATGCATTTCAATTTGGATGGACACTGTTGCAATTGATAAATGTCAAGAATAAATTAGTATGGCTGAAGTATAAAGATTGTATTCAAAGAAAGAAATATATTATAGCAAAATAAATTATACCTTTTTCCCTTTCCAAAGTTGCTCAATTTTGCTAAAAGGCAATCTCAATTCGACCAGGTTCTCTAGACTAAATTTTGATGGCAATGTTCTCAAAGGATATCCATCCCATCGCAAATACCTCAATTCATCAGGAAGATATTTTAAACCCCGAAGATGCACTTTAGAAATATCTTCTAACTTTTCGTAAAGCTCATTAGCCCGAGAATTATACAATTTAAGCAATTGAAGATTAGGCATCTTAGTAAAGGCTCTGGAGCTTAATTGAAGATCTCTTATTTCTGACATATTCAGGAATATGCCTTTAACTGCGTCAGTTCCCTTAGAACAAAATGAAAAGAAATATAAGAAAACATAAAACTCACAAAAGCATCAATAAATTTATAACAGAGAAATGAAACCCACAATATTGTATATTTTACTAGAGGTATGAAATAAAATTAAATATCAAATTAATTAGGCTCATACCTTATTATGTTTCAATATGTGATAGACGTCAGTATCACACCATAGTCTGCTACGATTGCCTGGCTGTGTCTCTGATTCTTCAAAAACAATTCTTCGACCCATTTCTTCCAACAAATCATGCATCTTTAACAAATTCTTGTGTGATATTGTTATCAAGGACTTATCAATGAGGACACTCAGCCAATATTGCGTAGAGCAATTATAACAGTTGTCTAATAATACTGTTACATAATTTCTACTCCTTCCATTAAAGAAACATGCGATATCAAGAAATATATTCTTCTCTATCCAATTTAGTCCATGATAACTAGATTTCAAAACATCATATATTTGGGGGTCACCAATCATGTTCAAGTTACATAATGCACTTTCCCAGTCTTGTTTGCTCTTTTGATAGAGGGATGAACCCAACACTTTAAGAGCTAATGGGATACCTTTTGCGTAATCTATTATCTTGTTTGTGAGCTCCACAAGGTCTTTAGGAGGATGGTTTCTTTTGAAGGCATAATTACAAAAGAGTATAAGGGCTTCAGTGTATTTGAGTCTCCCAACCTCATATATGGTATGAACACCAAAATTATGAAGCAAATGTCTGTCTCTAGTAGTTACAATGACTCGGCTTCTTGGACCAAATCCATCAAGACCTCTGCTTAAAACTTCTAAATGCTTTGATGTATTGACATCATCAAGAACAATGAAAACGTTTATGTATTGAAGCCTATGCTTAATAAATTGGGGTATAGTATTTGGAGAGTCGATGATAAAATCTTTATCTCCTAGTATTCTAGATATAATTCTTTGTCGCAAATGAATTAATCCGTTACTTCTTTCTAATTCTTCACTAACATTTGCGATGAAGCAATGACCTTCAAACTGTCTTGATATTTGGTTGTAAGTAGCTTCAGCAATGGTTGTTTTACCTATGCCTCCCATACCCCAAATTCCTACAATCTGAAACTCTGACAACAATGATTTTATTTGCTTGATGTGGGAATCCATTCCAACTAAACCCTCGGAAATACTTGAGGATGACATATCATCTAATTTTTTCAAAATATCCTTGACAATTCCATCGATAAGTTTGGATTCAGGCCTAGAAAATTTAAAGAGTAAAAGTAGTGAGTTTAAGAACTGATCAAAACTGAAGCAAATCGAACCTCCAAGACATCAATAAAATCACTGTTTTCATATTTATCCTGCTATTACTGTAAGGCGTGTAGATGAAAGGTTAAATTAAGTCAAGAAAACAAAAAAGATAGCTTTACCTAATTGTCATCGAATTCCATCCAGATAGATTGGCTGCTTCAGTCAAAGCAGTCTTCCACTTCAGTACGTCTGATGGATCGCGCTTAACAAAGGCATCCCTGAAATTTCCACTTTGTTTTCGTACATCTGATGGATCCACTTGGTAGAAAATTGGTATAACCGTTTGGCCTTTCATTTTTTTGCATTCAAGAATCTTTACAAGTTCATTCAAGCACCATCTTGAAGAAGCATAGTCTTTTGAGAAAATGATTACTGAAATCCTTGATTCTTCAATTGCTGTTATCAGTGCAGGGGAAATTCCTTCTCCTCTCTGAAGTCCATCATCAATGAAGGTTTGAATCTGTTTTTGACACAAAGCAGCATATAAATGGCTAGTAAAATTATCACGGGTATCCTCCCCTCTAAAACTAAGGAAGACATCATATTTGGGTTTACAAATATCAGGAGAAGAAATTGATGATGAAGCCATGGAGGAAAAAAGAAAGCTTTGTCGCAAAGTCACAGAACAGAATAAAATATTCTTAGCCCTGAGAGAAGGTAGCTGTAGCCTGTAAGAACAGATAAAAGATCTTGAAATCTAGAAGGTACTTGAACACTGTAGTCACTCTACTGTGGGTAAAGCTTCTAACGATTCTCTAGTACCTTTTTAATTACATAGGTGTGTATGATCGGAGGTAATCGGAGATTTGGTGTAATATTCGAGAAAATTTAACTTTCGGCCATCCTAAGTTTCCATTTACCAAAATGGCCTTGAAAATTTTTTTCAATTTTTTTTTAATTTAGAGAAGCTAATGTGGCACAGTTAGGAATTATTAAAGATGTAAAATGGGTTCAAATGAAAAAATTAAAACATATGTGAACAAAATCATAATTAATGAAAGTTTTTTAAAATTTGAAATTTAAAAATAAGCCCCACCCATTCAAATCGCTTAATCGAAACTGATTAGGGCAAAAATCGATTTCTTGAACCATAAACGGAGACCGTGCAATTTCTGATCGAAACTGCAATTTTTCACACCATATTCAATCCTAAAATCGATTTCTTGAACCCCAAACAGAATCTCTGAGATTTTCGACGATACAGTCCAGATTTCCGATCAAAACTGTAAATTTTCACACCAAATTCAATCCTAAAATTGATTTCTTGAACCCTAAAGGAATCTCTGCGATTCCCGGCGACACAGTCCACATTCACAATCGAAACTGCAAATTTTCACACCAAATTCAATTCTAAACCATGGCTGACATTCACAATCAGGAGGAAAACCCAACGCCACTTCGAATCCTAGAGTTCGGTGGCGCAAGCAATTCAATGGCTGCTCCGGTGGATCATCTGATCAATGAAGGTGGTCCACAGGCAGAGGAGACGACAGCGACACAACAACAGAGAGAAGAATCGCAAAATGGTTTTGAATAGGAGGAGGCCAGCGAGAGTTCCGGCGAGGAGGAGGAGGCTGGCGAGAATGCAGGCAACGAAGAGGTCGACAAAGAAAGGGTACATATTTGTTTTGGGAGTATTGCTCTGTACTGTCGCTTAAGCGATCTGTCGCTTAAGCGATCATTTGTATTGCTTAAGCGATTCATCTCTTTTACTCATGGTAGCGTAAGTTATTCTAGATCGCTTAAGCGATCTTGTCCGAGACAAAATCAACATCTGCCTAGATCTATGATCGCTTAAGCGATTTTTCACTTTTACTCTTGGTCGCTTAAACGATTTTAGATCGCTTAAGCGATCATTTACGAGGCAAAATCATCTGCCTAGATCTAAGATCGCTTAAGCGATCTTTTGCATCGCTTAAGCGATCTTTTGCATCGCTTAAGCGATTCATTCAGTTTATTAATGGTCGCTTAAGCGATTTCAGATCGCTTAAGATATCTTGCACGAGGTAGAATCAAGATCTCTTAAGCGATCCGAAATTGCTTAACCGACCATAGAGGTAATTTTTTGTTGCTGATATTTTGTTTATTAGTTGTTTTGGTTTATTTTTGTTGCTGATATTTTGTTTATATCGATTGTGCAGATTGCGCGGACCGTAAACTATAAAGACTATGGGTTGGATATTGTAAGCGATAATGTACCGTACTTCCCTGTAAGGGTGATGGTTAGGTTGAGTTGGGATGTTTTTGAGAGAATAATGGGGATTTTAGATGGATTGAGGAATGGTGAAGAACGATTCAAATAGACTTGTTTCAGTCAGTTTTTTAAAATAGGAACAAATTGGAAAAAAGGCATTATGGGGGCAGGGAGTGCATTATATGTTGCTGCACTCAGTAAAATGCAAAAAAAAAATAAAATAAAAAAAGCAAGAAATGTGGTTCGTGGTGGATGGAAATCCACTACGTTTTGGGATGATGGAATATGCGTTGGTGACCAGCTTAGGATGTGGGAAAATGCCAGATGAGGATGAGGCAAAGGCAATAAAGGAGAGTACGACAATCATAAGGTTGGCTAACAAGTTTTTGCAGGGGAAGCGTCTATTACAAGACGCGATTTAGAGCAGAGGATAGAAACAGTTCGATTTAGGGATTCAAAGAAGTTCAAACTATGTTTAGTATTGTTCTTACATTCGATCCTAATGGCTGGTGACTCAAGAAAAGCCGTTGATATGGATTGGGTGAGGTTTGCAAGCAACTTGGACTTCTTTAATTCTTATCCGTGGGGATGGGTATCATTTAAACGAACCATGGACTCCCTGCAAGGGAAAGACATGGCGTTAAAGCAGTCCTAATGGGTCAGGAAGGATAAACAGAGCACGTACAATTTGTTTGGCTTCCCATGGAAAATGCAGGTAAATATTAATAGCTTTTTGTTATTTTTTTTGTAATATATGTGTTTGAATTATGATATGGACTGTTTTTTTACAATATAGGCTTGGATGTATGAGGTCGTCCCTATCTTCGCTAAGGCCGCGGGGTGGGGGGGGAGGAGTAAGAGTTCGGATGTGCGACAGCAATTTCCTAGGATGTTGTAGTGGCATGTCGAGAAGTGTACCCATTGGAATTATGACCAAATAGACATTGAAATTGAAGCGGCTCGGGTAAGATTAAAGGATTAAGCTTTTGAATATGCAGTTGCTTTAAAATGTCGCTTCAATCTGATTGATTTTGTTTCTTATTGCAGGGAGTCGTCCGTCCGTTTCTCATCGCTACTAGGGATGAAGCGGAAAAGGAGTATGTCACATCTTTCGAACCACTGGAGGATGAAAGGGATGAACAGATAGACCGCCTGATGCGGGACCTAGTAGGGGTCACGCATGTGACGGTAGTTGTAGGGCCACTACTTGAGAACGTGGTTGACGCCGAGGATGATGAAGCTCCAATCGGCAAGAGGGAGGAGGAGGAGATGGAGGAAGAGGTTCGTATGCCTCAGTAAACCGGTACAACAAGTACCGCTTTATCAAGATATCGGCGTCGGGAGAATGAGGTGGTTGACCTCATAAATAGCTTGTTTGAGAGTTTTACAACAGTCATTTATGACAGGTTTGACGAGATGGAAGAGCGGATGAAAAAAATGGAAAAGAAAGTGGATAAGGTGGCAAAGAAAGTTGGTATGGTGAAGGAGGAAGTTGGTGGAGTATTAAAGGCGGTTGAAGTGCAATCTGGGCTAAAAAGAGAGAGCCGAAAGAGCAAGTTTGTCAAAATGCCTTACACGGTAATAACACATGGAAAGAAGAGGAAAATTAAGAAACAAATGGAGGAAGAAGCAAAAATGGAGGAGGTTAAGGAGGTTGGTGGAGGAAGTGGGGCAGTAATAATGGAGGAGGGTGAGGTGAAAGGGGAAGGAAGCGGGGATGTAAAAATGGAGGAAGGGGGAGGAAGTGGGCAAGCAAAAATTGACTCAAAGGTCAATTTGTATAGGCCAATAGAGGAGGAAAAGAAAAAACTCTTCTATGCCTATTACAATGAATCAGGAAGTGATGCCCATGTAGAGTGTAAGACTGGGGATTATTGTCGGGAATGGTTTGAACAGTTGTTGACGATGGGTAAGTGGCTTGAGGACTCGGTGAGTTATTTTCGCTTAATTTTGCTTATGTTTTCCATACTTATCATGTTGTTTTTATTTGATGCAGCACATCGATGAGGTATTGGCACTGATAAGGCTACGATAGACCGGTAATGGTGATCTATTGTATCCTGACTGTGTTATCACTGATGTGGCGTTTGGCCAAACGCTTGTTTCAACAAATCGCAATTTAATTAAAAAGGCCGTTGGTAGAGGTGCAGCAAAAGGAGCCAAGCGAAAAAGATCGCTTAAGAGATTCTACCTCGGACATGATTGCTTAAGCGATAGTAAATCTCTTAAGCGACCAAGTGTAAAAAGTTAGAATCGATTAAGTAGGGCTGTGCAAAACTGGGTACCCGCTCCGGTTTTGACCAAAAATCGGGTACCCGAATATTCGGGTACCACCAAAAATGAACCCGCTAACCGAACCGGTTTTAGAATACCCGGTTTTGCAGGTACCCAAAAATTCGGGTCACAAACTAGATATCCGATTTTGTTACTCGAATTTCATTAAAATTATACAGCAAATTAGGAGAATGCAGAATTATATCACTTTGAAATTCATGTGTGTCAATTGTCAATCTTAACTATTATTCGACAATGTCTAACACAAATCATTGAACCATACTAATCATTAATCAAACACATTCTAACAAAAAAGTAATCTCTAAACCATTATCATCTATTGCTTGGGACCAAAGTGAAGCCCAATAATTTGCAGTCTCAAGAATAATTTGCAGACTGAGATTGGAAAATTTGAGAGTGAGAGAGATGAATATTGAGTGCGGCTATGCGAGTGTGTGGTGCAGATGCAGACTGAGACTGGAGAAGGCAACAATCTGAATTTGAGAGTGAGAGAGATGAGTTTGAGTGCAGCTGTGTGCGCCTGTGTGCAGCTCCTGCAGGACTTGAATACTGGAAGAGACAAAGAGTGGAAGTTTACGCAGTGACTGGTTTAGTTTTAGGAAGGGCATAAAGGATTTCAGATTTGGGGCTTTTGGGTTTTGGCTTTTGCGTTTTGTCTTTGAAAAATGAAAGTCTAACGTCTTTTTTTTGTTTTTTTTTTTAATAATAAAAACTGGGTACCGGTACCCGGTTTCCTAAAATTAAATAACCGATACCCGAATCGAAAATTCGAGTATCTTACAAAAACTACCCGAAACTGACCCGAATTTTCAGGTACCCGAAAATCTGGGTTCAGTTCGGTTCGGTTACCCCTTTTTTTTGCACAGCCCTACGATTAAGCGATATCATAAATACCATCGGATCTCTTAAGCGACTAAGTCTAAATACACATGATCGCTTAAGCAATTAGGTAAATCACTTAAGCGATCGTATGTATTCGGATTTTTTTTATTGTATTTCAGAAGATCGGTTAAATGATTAACGCTATCTTAAACATATAAGGTGTACGATTCGTTCTCAAACTTCGTTTACTCCTTAAAATAATAACTCTTTTAAAATCAGACCGAGAAGAATCTCAAAAGAGTGTAATATTTATCAATGCTCTAAAAATTTCATCATCTTCTTCTTTATCCATATCTCAACTGTAAAGCCATTTTATTGCTCAAATTCTTAACATACAGGGTTTACGATTCGTTCAGTGGACCATGACAATT